AGAGTCTGGTAGGATTTTTTTTTTTTTACTGGGTCTTTCAGAAGGCATAATGTTATTGTTACCCCCTCACCACACCGTTCTGCAGAATCCCATATACTACAACAAAGGGAATGAGGTCTTTGAAGACAATATGCAAGCAGTCATCATTCCACCTAGATTTTAAGGTAATTATCAAATATTTGGATTACCCAGGTAGCGAAGGGAATATTTCAGCTCTTTGGATATTTGTTATTTGCATCATGATCCCATGCCAGGTGACTTCAATGTCACATTCATTAAATCCCATATTCTGCCTTTCAAGCAGAGTCCTGAACAACGGGTGATATGGAACTGCATGCTGGCAGGAGTCATTTCTGGGTGAGGCAGCTACTGTTCAAGCCTTGGTCAGCATTTATGGGAATGGCAAGTCCTCACTTCCCCCATTTTTAGGGATGCTGGCTAGCATATGTTTTCAGGATCACAGAACATTTAGGCTAAAGAGAACCATTTTTGATAAAGAGAGAAGCCCCAGGCAAGAGCAGACATTTTATATTCTGTCTTTTTTGCACTGGTGCCAGACTGGCCTGCAGAGGATGAGTGATGTCTGAATTGAGAACTTTTTATTTAATATCATGCTTTCCCAGTGGGGAAAAAAGAAACCAATGAAGGACTGAAAGACCCAAGTCATACAGCCTTGGGGCTTTCTGATCTGCTAGTCCCCTGGAGTGCAGAGCTAGCCTTTTGTTCTTACAGTACCTGTGACTATCCTCTGTAGAAAGTCACCACATCTCTTCTACTCTTCAGGACTTCTGTCTCTCTCTCTGGTAAATGCTGCTCTCTCAGGAGTCACACTCTTATTTGCTGTGTCTACAGTGTGGGACCCAGCTGCTCTGTGGTGGGCCATGGTGGACAGCGAGACCAGGTACCTTTTGCAGCAACCCACTTGCCCATGGGTCTGCATTTGCTTCCAAAAGAAGCCAAGGTACATGAGAGAATGACACAAACCCAACTTCTGTCCCACCTTATGTCCAGGACATGGCTAAGGTATACATCCATGTGTGAAAACTGCCATGTACAACTCTCCACAGCCATCAGCTCCATGTCAGTGGTGGTGTCAGAGTTCTGCCTATGGAAATGAGTAGTCTGTGTGAGAAAATTGTTGTTCTTTGTTTTATCCAGCAAGTTCTCCTGAAAGTTTTCCAGAAAGACTCTCTCTCTGTCTTCCCGTCTCTGGTTCAAAAGCAAGGAGCACCAGATCAAAATGCTGGTCTCAAGGGGTGTCTGCACAATCATAGGGTTTGTCAAGCCCACAAGGGAAATTAATGTCTTTTCATCATCTGCTGATGGATGAAAGTGTCATTTGCAGGGAAAGGCTCCAAGCTCGCAATGGTGAGAGCATCACACAGAATGGTTGCATTCATGCTGAGCAGCTCTGGAGCGGTCATCAAATTGGGCCTCCATGTTCTCTGATACCTGACATAATTTGTGAATAATGAATAGGGCCAGGTCCCTAATGATCTCCAGGTGTGATTTAACCTGGATTAAGCTTTCCACATACTGTATTTAGTTCTTGCAAGGTCATTTCACTTCTGATAAATACTGGTTTGCACATGCTCAGCTGTGTTCTTGTCCTTTAATGCAGTAACTGACAGATGGTAGCAAAATATTCCTTTTATAATGAAACCAGCTGAAGGAGACTGCTTAGGGCCTCAGAAAATATAATTTGCCAAATAAAGGATGGTCTCCAGGAAAGAAAGGAAACACTGTAATGTAGTATATATTAAATAATTTTCCTCAGGCATCTGGTGATCAGTAGCTTTTTCTCATGTCAGAGAGGTGACCTGTTTGTTTCCAATTAGTTATTGCCTCATTCGCCTTTGTACTCTTAAAAGTCTTGTTTCTGTGGGTTGGCATAAGTAGTGCCTCTAAAAATGTGCAAATTAACTGCATGAGGATTTGTTGTAGAGGCTTCATAGGTACCAGATTTGTATCTGCAATGTGTAGTCAGATACTTAAGGTTTTCACTTACACTATAATTAGCCTGGTTTCTGGGTGAATTTCTCACTCATTTTTTGGACACAATTATGCCCATTTCTCTTAAATCACTATTAATACCTAGTGGCATTGTTACTGAATCCTTTATGTGACCATGCACACCCTGGATTTCCTCATGGCCTGTGCAAGCTTATATTGGCAGCTGACCACATCAGAGTTGTCTAATTTATCATCTTCTGTGAGGCAGGTAGTTCTGGATGGCAGAAACCACTCCTTTTCAAACCCCCAAGAACCTGCAACCTTCTTCTAAAGCCAGTCATTTGCTGAGTAGCTATCTTTGCCACTCTTAGTTTCCTCTGGCTCCCCCATAACCAATTTTTTACTCTTTTATCCTCTGTACCAAGATGCAGTTAAGGAAGACTTGATGTGACTTCCTTTAGCATCCATTTACACTGTCCTATAAATCATACAAAATGTTCTGCACAGGCTCAAATCTAGGCATTAAATGAGAATCCATCTGTTCGTTGCTCCCAATGGGAATATAGTTTCTTTCTCTGCATCACTGCTTGACAAAACTTCTAATCCCATCTGAAACCGGTAGTGTGTTGTGTTCGGGGCCTGTTATTTCAAATACACATCTCTCTGCTCAATCCTTCCCCTCTCAGGAATTGTTATTTTTAGGCTGTTTTTCTATCTCTGATGGAGTCAAAAGTTACATCTTAACCTATACAAGCTCTGGTGGCATATGCCACTCTGCTTTTCTGCTGCAGTATCATGAAATCTGTCATCCGGGTCTGTTCTTCTGATCTGTAACCCCTTTGTCATTACTGCCCTTATGGACAAATTCATGTGAATACTTCTCTTATTTCTGTTTCTTGCCTGGGTTTTCTTTCACTGTTCTTGGGTGTTATGGCCAGCAGTAGATGAGTATTTGCATTAGCCTTTGGCTCTACCAGGAGAGGAATCAACAGTACTGGACAACTTAGAGCATACTCCTGCTGCTATAATGTGCCCTGTGCATTAAGGCACTACAGGAGTGTTGGTGTCAAGGTGATGCAGCTGCCAGAGCACTCAGGTACACCATTATTTTAAGAGGGGATCACTGCAACTCTTGAACTGCAGACTCCCTCCTACCTGTAGGTGTCTAAAGCTGTGCTGTAAGTTTCCCTTTGCAGCCAATGAGGAATATAAAATAGGCACCTCTGAGGTCCAATTTATTTCAACCTAAAGTAAATAACTAAAATACGTGAGTAAAAAATTATTTCATTTCTACTGACTAAAAAGGTAGCAAAGGCTGACTAGCTTACACACACACAACTACACATAGATCTCTGGCCAGGAGGCATGCCTCAGCTGGCCACTACAACTGCAGCAAACCACAGGTGACTCAATGCATCTCACTCCTCCTTCACTGTGGCCTAAGGTCTGTCAGAGCCCCTTGTTGCTAGGGGCTAAGGATACACATATGTGTGTATGTCATGCAAATGTACATACAGTTTCTTAGCTGACACATGGCAACTTGTTCCTCTTCACAACACGAGGGAACATTTGAACCCATGATGCATTTGAGCTATCAGGCGCTGTGTGTCGGGCAGCTGTTCCTTGGAGCCAGCCTATAAAGAACACAGAGTACATCCCTGGGGGCTTTTTGTGGTGTTTTTTTAGTTTTTTTTTTAATTGAGAATGAGGAAGTGCCTGACTCTTTTTACCAATCTCACAGATTGTGAAGCCTTTAGTCATCTATAAAGAAGCATATTTGACATATTTTGGAGTTTTTGCCTTTTTTTAGCATGGATTATTCACACCTTCAGAAATGCTCTAGAGTGACCCAAGCCCAGTGTCTCTCTTTTGTTGCCAAAAATGCTTGCCAAGAATTTTGGAGCACGGCACCACCCCGAGTGCATGTTCTAGATGGGCCACATCATTACACTGAATAGTGCAAATTTGCTTGCGTTTAAGGCTGACCAGTCCCATGCAACCTCCAGCTGCTTACCTTGACTCCCCCAACCAGAACAAGAGCACCATTTCTGCACAGTCCCACCTCATACCAGCATATCTCCAGCCCCATGCTCTCTGCCTCCAAGGTTTTGCATGGAGCTGCTGAGCATTTCACAGAGCAGATGCAGCAGCGTGAGTCACTGCCTCACCAAGGAACAAGCATATCAGTTGCTCCATGGAAACAGCCCATGTATATGCTTGAATATTGTGCAATGCACTTTGAGGCCACTTACATGCCTCTGAAATAGAGATAACTTGTTTACTTCACATAAGAAGAGCAACCTGTGTCACACAACTGCCTGGGTACTTCTGATGGAGCATCTAACATGTGACAGCTCGGCTGAGATTTGGATGGTTCAGGCCACTTGTTTGCAGAAAAAGGAGCTCAAAGCAAGAGCCTCCACTGGTTTGCCCTTAAGGCTGAGTCTCTTTCAGTACTCAAAACAAGGTAGTTTTATGCAAACTGCCTGTTAGGAATGGTCCCTGCAACATGCTGACCCCCAAAATGTGCCTGGGATTTGTTTGGGGCAGGGGCCAACACCATGACAGGCACTGGTCGAGGAGTATAACAGGGTAGATGATCGTGCTCTAGTAGCTAGAAACATTGCTAGTGACTGTTGAATTTACTCTTATGGCTGTAGCTGAATGTTTCCATTCATGTTCCCTAGAGGCTGTCTGTGTTTACAGCTTTAATAGCTAGAAAAACATGAGTTTTCTGACCATCCCCACGCTTTATGGCACATCTTTCAATCTGTTGTAATGAAGAAGCACTAGTAACAAAGTTAATGCTTACTCCACAAGCAAAATTTCTCTTCTTGGCAGCTCTTGGCATAAGGTACTTCAAAAAGTGTCTTAATATTCTGCAAACAAATCAGTTATTTATAATTGTCTTGTCTTTAGATGTAAATTAAAGTAATGATCTTTTTTATAGAGTTGAAAGGAAACAGACAGGTTTAACTGAAGTAAATGAGATCTACATGACCATCTGGTTTGTTTTGTTTTGTTTGTTTTTTTTTTTAACTTTATAGGAAATCAATGTACTGACAGTAGCATTGGTCAACCAAGACAGAGAAAAAAATTCAGAGAAACGAAGCCCGGGTCTAAAATCAGAGAAAGAGGCACTATTAATAGGTAAGATAACCCCAAAGAAGATTTTTGAGACAAAATGCCTTTTAATAAGTTTTTGTTTTCCATATGTGTTTACATGCATCTTTGTGCTAATAAAAGTAAAAAAAAGATATTTTTGTATTTTTCATCTGTATTCATAATGCCTTTTAGTAAGAGAAAACCTAAACCACAAGTGATTTCAGGTATGAAGAAAATTGCAGGATCTACATTTAGACTTGCAGCATGAATGTATGAAGACTTTATTTACATCAACATTTAGCAGGCTAGAATTGTGTAACTTGTTATCTGATTATGAGACAAAATAGTGAGGAGGAAGGGGATGGAAATAATATTAGCAAACTACCAAGCAAAAAATATGTATACTGGATGTATTAAGCAAGCCAGATTTATGCTTTTGACATTAGATGAGGGAATTAGCAATATGAATATTTATAAAGAATACCACAAGGACTGTCATATCCTTTACCTAGAATAAAATCTTTAAAATAAACTCTTAAAGAGTGCCTAAAAGCTAAAGCTTATAGGCAGTGGGCCAGCTAACTAGTACCTAGCATTTAGCCACACAGGAATGCTGGCTGTACCCATGCTGCCCTTGGAGGGAACATGCCCCATTTATATCTGTGCATGTTTTGCATTTGGTTTCAGTGGGGCAGGTTTTCACGGAGCCTAAGGGCCCACAGTCCAAAGTGGTCCCTATGGCATGGTTGCCATTCACAGGAATGCTGACCTGAAAGACAAGGTTTCATTTCTTTGGTTTGGTCTTTTCACAAAATCAGCAGTATCCCGGTAGGTGATAGTTCCAAAACTACCTTAATTTGTTTAAATGCAACTCATTTGCATCTGCTAAGCACCAGGAAAGTTGCTGGTTTATTGCTGGGGCACAGATTCAGACAGTTCAGGCCAAAAAGGTCATTTAAAAGTGAAGAATGTATTTAAATGTTTAAAGGGCTTAGTATACAAACTTCCTGTGACTGGTGAGAAGTGGAACAGTGGGATGTACAGAAATGTATGAATTGATTTAATTTTGCTTGTTATAATAAAATTTGAAACTTTTAATTGCAATGGACAGTATTTGATCTGTTCAAAGATAACTTCGGTGAGAAGGGTAGCAAGGATGGGATTTTAAGAAGAGAATAAAAAATTTTCTTTCTAGGTCACTCGTTATTTGACTGTAACAAGTGGTGGCAGTGTCCCAAAGTGGGTCTCACCAACCAGCTGTCCAGTGGCACACTCAAACAGTGTAATCTCAGTTCAGATATTACTGGTCATAATACCCCCACAACTGGCTCATTGTTACAATTCAAAGGCAAAAGATTGCTGAAGATGGATTTCATGTTACCTCTTCCTCTGAGGCATGTTCAGGTGTGGCAAGGGAAAAAAGGGCCTTCACTGAGTTTGTCTATATTTTACAAAATTCAATATTGTCTTAGAGGAAAAGAGCATAAAAGAAAAATAAATTACTAAAAAGTTATCATGGAACTCCAGTCAATAACTACAAAATATTTTCAAATGACTTTTTATTTACATTGTATGAAAGAGCTAGCTTTGAACATCCTGAATTGAAAAGCCTTGGGAACACACATAACAAATGCAATGCCACTGGTAAAATGTGATTTGAATGCAAATTTGATTTCCCATCAACTCATCCAAGTGTGATGGTCTTTGCTTTTGCTTCAGGGGGTCTTGTGTGTGTGCTTATGGTCACGCACAGCACAAAGAAGGTAACTGCTGCTAGCACTCACCATAGTATAAAATTAAATACATGCCCCTCCCTTTGCAGAGTCATAAGTTTGCAAATGCTATTGGAAAAATGAGGGAGGAAAAAAGGTGTTCTTTGCAAAGCCAGTCTCAAAGATCATTTTTGAGCTAAATTTTACTTACCATTTTCAACCATAGCCAGTATTTGGGGAAATATGAAATCCAAGATTATCCTGATTCATTCAGCATCAAGAAAATAGCATGGCCTGCAGTACACAAGATACACTGACCCATTTTTGTCATTTGTAAGCATCTTAATCCCAGTGTTTATGCTTTAAATATAAGGAACTTCCCCTAGGGTGGTTCAGCTAAGAAACCCATCCAGAGTTGAAAACATTTGCTCTGATTCTTACAGTTCAACTCTCCCCAAACAGTAACACACATGCCATTTTGTATTGTCACTGTTTGTTTAGAAGAGAAGAAGTTGGATAGTGTTTTAATAGCAATTCTGATGCCCAATCTTGTTTAATCTGGTCATCATTATTATGCTGTCACTTGATTTTCACTGCAGAAAAAGTCTCTAGACTTAGATCCTGACTCATCCTAAGCCACTTTTATCCCTATACCTTTTACAATGATCTTGTAAATAACAATGAAGATAGACAGAACTGGCTCTCATTTAAGAGAAAGTAAATAAGTAAATATGTCATAAAGGATTTGTGTTTTCTTCAGCAGCACTTAGGGGTAATACAGGTTAAGCACTTTTCATAACCAGCATGACCATAATTACTAGAAAAATTTGAGGGAGTGAGGTTTCTGACACAATTATATGAAACATTTTCACAACAGAGCATCCAGTGAAGGGGAAAAAAGCAATAATTTTACCATTACAATATCCACAATTTTATATTGGTAAATCAAGCATAAAATTGGTAGTTGAAATGCTTCCAGCAAGTCTTTGTTTAGAAATTCCTTTATTCATCAGTATATTATCTTGGTCACTTACTTGCTAACTGCTGTCATTCCTGAAGATGAGCTATTGTGTTTACCATGTTATTATGACTGTATTAAAAATATGCCATTTTGTTATGTTTATTGGGTTGTGTAAGAAAAATAAGAATCATAATTCATACTGAAAAACCTGCAAGAACAGGCTATTCAGAATTATTTTGCTTATTTTAATGATATATTATCTGAGGTAATTTCAATACTTTGTGTGCGTTTGTTTTTAATACAGGTATCATATCCACATTTCTTCACGTCCACCCTTTTGGAGCCAATATAGAATATCTTTGGTCTTATATGCAGCAGTTGGACTCTAGGGTAAAAAAATTTAATCAAAATCTGTTTTCTCTATAGAAATATTGTATTATTCTTTACTGCAGGTTAAACTCTTCGTGCATTTCCATTAGAAAGATAATGGGATATGGGGCTTGGGGGTTTGCAGGCTTTATTCATTCGCAAATTACAGTGCACGTGCTTGTGTTGAGGTCTTTGCCTCACGCTGCTTAGCTATTCTTTGTGGCAAAGAAGAGCAGAGCCTTAAATGGCAAAGACTAGCAGCTGATTTTATGATACATGATCCTGAAATACAGCTGAGGAGAAAGAAAGCAGAACGAGAGGCAGGTGCAGCCATGGCCATCAAACTGTGCAGAGTTTTAGGAGATGATTCCTTACACTTCTAAAACTTGTTAGTCGTGGGTCACACTGAATATGAACTTTCATGAACACGTGAATTATATACCATGAAGCATACCCTTCATCTCCACTTGGAAGCAGAGAGGGCCTCATAAAGGAATTGGCTGACCCTATTGCTAAGTTCAGAGAAGGTGTGGCCAATGCAAAAGTGAGGCCAACACACTACAGTGTGCAAAGTGGTTTTTAATGCACAGTTCATACAGTCCATAGTCAATACATACCTGTAGGATAAGATTCTGTGACTTACTTTTGAGTATCTACTGTAGGATGAGATGAAATCAAGCCCCAAAAGGGCCTATTCCTCTCTACTGAATATTAAGCAAGTCAAGGGTGAGCAGCTCAGCTGTGAAATAGTCACCTTTGGTCAGCTGAATGCTACTCTTAACTGTTAAACAATGGCTCTGCAGGATGCTAGACTGCATGAGATACTTAGCAGATGCAGGGATCACCCTGTGGTTAGCCACAGCTCTGATCCACATCTGCCAATACTTCATCTGAACATGGGGATGACAGTGCTTGCCCACATCTTTTTGCAAACACAGAATCAGGATCTAGCTATGGTGTGCACCTGGACTTGAGTGTGAGTGGCACTCCTTGTGTGGTGGTCGTTAGACACAACTCATTTGATCCTGGTAATATTTTGTTCCTGAACACTCCCTCCAGCCATGCCACCCGTAGCCAAGGTCACCTTGCAGCTGCTTTGATGGGTTGCTTTGATGGGTGGCTTCATGCCTCTGGAGGGTCCTTCCTCTGTTTCTATGAAAAAGTGTATAGCTAAAAGCAGAGGAGATCTTGAGCTAGAAGCCCACTGGAAATAAGACAGGTTGCATGGAAGAGTGAAGAAGGGTGATGAAGTTCTTAGGCACTAGCTTCAGGCCATGGCAGCTCAGATTTGCTAGCGCTTTACAGTCACTGCTACCCACAATGAAAAAGGAATAAGGGATGAGGACGGTAGAAAGAGGTGAGAAGCTGGTGAATTTCAATTTTTTTAAAAAAATTCTGATTTTATCAAGACCTGATACATCCAGAGCTTCACACCTGCAACCATTCCTCTTCTGCTTCTCTATTCCTTGCCTCTGCCACATCTACACCTTCCTTCATCTCGTCCCCAGTTCCTGCAGCACCCAGTCTGCCTGATCTCCTCAGTCATCTTTCAAGTCCTTCCTTAACACAGCATTTGGCTAAGTTTCAACTGCTTTTTCCCCTGGCTGACCTCTCCAGCTCTGTATATCTTGAGTGAAAACAGCAGTCACTTAAAATACCAGCTCCCTGGGCTCCAGCCCTGCTGCTCATTGCTTCTGACCACTGAGCTCTTCAACTTTCTCCCCCTTCACTGCTGTGATCCTTTCTTGTGCATGTCTGTGGCCTCTGTCCTTGAATTTCTACTCACGCGAGTAACGTGTTGGCTTCTGTGAAGCTGCCAGGATCAAACCCGTAACTTGCAAACACAGCTTTCATGGAAGGAGCGTTGTCTCCGTCTCTCTGAGGTGCCAACATACCAGCCCCTGCAGCTACCAGCAGACCTATCTGCTGCATAATAAACATGAGCCACAAAATTTGACCTCACTGGTTTATTTTGGAAGTAACTGCTTGTAGCAACAAATTACTTTTTAATAGCGCAATCCAGAGATGCAATCTCAGAGATGAATTTCAATTACTTTCCAGGGTTAGCCTGTCATTCCTCACCTGAACAAGAATGGTAGGGTCAGCATACCCATGTGGGCTGAGGGCTCAGTATAGAGCTCAGATACATTACCCAAACGTAACCAGCTATCCATTACTGCCATGAGAGTATGTAAAAGATGGACCTGATTACTCTGGGGCTTTAGACTGCCTCCAACACTGATTTTTGGTGCCACCTTAAACAAATCATTTAATCTTTCTGCTAAGGAAAATAAGAGGTGATAGATACTTTCTCACCACCCTTGGGTGGAGTAAGGTATAATTAACATATTTTATGTTTATATACTGTTTTAAAAGGAAACTTTTCACCATGGAAGTTTTCCACTACTATGAATAAGCAGAAATATCATCATTGCCAGAGAAGCCTATCAAACCATGGAGATACCTGTGGATAACAGGCAGCACCCATAGATTTCTTTGCTGTTCCTTTCATGACCTTCCTTTAGAAGAAGGAGCAGTAGGATTATTATACTGATTATACTAAAAAGGTTGCCTTTGTGAAAGTGTTTTCCACAATGAGAGCATCTTTCCCATTAGGAAGGTGACCAGTCATTAAGGTTTCAAAACCATAAAAACATCCTGAGCAATGCCAAGTCAGGAACCTTACTGCTTAGTTATCTGGGGCTGCTGAACTAGGCCAAACTGGGAGAAGATGGCTCCATGGATAGTCAGCAACTAAGTAACACAAGTGAGCTGATTAAAAATAAAGTCCCTCTATTAGGTTTTTTGCAAGAATGAACCTTATGGATCTGGGAGGAGGATTCAAGAGGTCATGGGATGAGAAGGAAGAATAAGGTCCCATTTGCTTTCTCCTCCTCATAAGTATGCCCATAACTGTAGTTAGATGGACTTCATAACAGCAGCAGCCCCGACACAGCAGTTGTCATTCTTTTATAGTGGGATGCCATTTACAAAAGCAGAATTATTCCTGCAAGGAATCTGTGCTTGGAGTCTGGAAATTCATGTCAGGCTAAGGTTAAAAAAAAATAATAATGGTTGGTTGTTTTCAGCTGTTTTCTCCATATTTCCTCTTTCCAATTTAAAGGACAGCTTTCACACTTTAATTTTACCTTTATTTCTTTCTCAGATCTCTGCAAATGAGATAGAAATGCTTTTGATGAGACTGCCACGCATGTTTAAACAAGAATTCACTGGTGTAGGAGCAACACTGGAAAAAAGGTGGAAGTTTTGTGCCTTTGAAGGAATTAAAACTATCTGACTGTGACTAGTAATGAAGCTATGCAGAAGAATTCCTAGAGCATGGCAGGGTTATAAAGTATTAAAGTAAGAAATTTGGGTTTGGGCACATAGTAGTATGTTTTCAAAGTTATCCAAGCCTAATTTTAGTTACATTTGTGACGTTCTCTTGTGAGTGGAAATGTAGTTGTGCACCAGTTCCTAAAATAAAATAAAATTTTTAAAAAAAAGTTTCAAAATGTGACAGATCTGTTTCCTATGAAAACTGAAGAAAGATACCACAGTCATAATGATTTCAAAATACTACATGTCCTACATCTAAGAAAAGCTCATTGAGCAAACAGTTAAGGAGAAAGATTGCCCGGTTATGGTCGCTAAGCTACAGCGATGTATATGTCATATGTAGTAGAACTCATTAAGTTTTGTTATTGAAACTTCTTTCTGTTTAGTAAGAAAATTGAGTAATTTTACAGTGAGGAAAAGCATACCAAAAGAAAACTTGAAGATGTGTCTGAAGTTATTGTATTTTGTAAATTAAGTTATATGCTGTACCAGGGATTTTTGCCTTATTGAAAGAGGCCTGAAAATGTGATTGGAGTCCTCAAGAATGCTTTATCAAGAATATTATTTTTCTAATGTAACTATTCTCCATTACAAGTTCTTTTAACATGGATTGCATATCAATTTTCATAAACATGTAAATAAGGAGGAAACCAGTGTTACTGTATTGTATTTGGTATGTAACATTCAGGTTTATGCATCAAAATAAATATTCAGTTGCATTACTGTTACAAATTTTATAGCAGATATATTAATTTTTATCAATAAATATGACTTCTACCATATTGTTTGTATAAGTTTTTCTTCTGATGTTTTTGAATTTTTACCCATCCAGCAACAGTCTCCTGGCACTTATCTTTCTCCTACACAAACTATTAATTGTAGATAACTTGGTTAAATTAGTTAGGAATCAAAAAAGAGCTTTCAATATTAGCTAAGATTAAAATAATTACAAATATTGGTAGAAGAAGTACCAGCATGGACCTTTGTTTAACTGAACAGATTTCATTTGTTTTTTTCAGACAAGCAGCCAGGTTAAAAGTGAACACCTTCAGATTTCTCATTTTCAGTGTTGTGTTGGGTAGCCATGATGCATCCAATTAGGTACTCCTTCTAACTCCCATCTAATGCTTCTGGTTTTTGGTCAGGCAAGGAAAGGAATAACGCACTTCTGGTGGTGTCCCTTAAGTGGGGACATTGATGTAAATTACCATTTAGGATTTACTGTCAAACACAGAGTACTCCAGCACTCCTGTAAGAGCCAGCAGAAGCTGAAGAAGTGTGTGTATCAACCAAGCCAGGAGAGTATCAAACGAATCACTCCTCCCAGAGACCTACTTTAGAGAGCTGCACCAGTACAGCATTTAGCATGGTGCTGGATAAGAAACAGCAGCCCCCTCCAAGTCACACCTCTATGTAGGCAGAGGAGCCAGCCGCAAGAGAGCTGGCCCTATAAAGTGTGGCACAAACAGCAGGAAATATGGCAAATTGCAACTGATGCAGGAAGTATCCAGATACATGTCAGAGTGATGTTTCACTCAGGTTCTTCAATAAACAGCAATTAGTGTCAAATGCAATTAGTCCTGAAGGAACTCTCGTACATGGCTGTTAGTGATTACTGCTTTAGGACCTATTTCTCTTCTGGCATCTACCTGGAATATAGAAATACTAAACGACTTGTTAATTGTGTACAGAAGGGAAAAAGGAGGCTTAGCAGGTCTATTATGCTTTGAGCCAGTACACACAAAAAATTTTTAAAGAACATACATCTCTATTATGTTTGCTACAGAACCTGTGTTAATGTAAGTTACTTGGGTGAAACTAGTAATTATATGCCAGTTATGTTAATGAAAATTAACTAGTTTAATCCAAATAACAACTCTTTCTTCTCTTGTGATCATACAGATTTATGAATAATTCAGGCAAATATGTGTTAGGTCTGACAGCTCTTATTTAAGTACTGTAACATAAATGCGTATGGATGGCACTTAGGCTTGGGAAAAGAGATGTGAGAAAACTTTCACCTCAGCTTTCTTCATGCTATATTTATTCATCATATTCTGTCCTCCCTTTTCTCGTGTCCTCCTTTTTTTCCCTTTAGCTCATCTCCTCTCCACAAAACAACTCCAATCCCAGATAGCTACAAAACATCTTAAGACTGACAGGACCTTGTAACATAATCACCTTATTTGCTCTGCATGTGTTTTCTCTTCCTTTTTCCCTCCTGGATTTTTCATGTGTATCTAGACCATAAGTGCTTTAGGAGAGTGACTTTTTAGTCCTTGTGTAGTACCAGCTAAAAGGGAACCTCCTTCATTGGCCTTTTGATACCACCACAGAAGATCTAAAATTTAAATGTAAATAGCATAGAGGCATCCTGCAATATTGTAATGTATCAGCTGAGACCTTGAAACTCGGGGGGAACCTCATGAGGATCAGGTTTGGCCCCAGAACTGGCTTTAACATTGTGTGCTAAGTGGCTTTGGGGGAAACTGGATTAAAATGCTCATCTCCATCACTTAGCTGATGAAATGTCCTTATCATGACCCTTGGGGGATCCAGCTGGGGGTCCTGAAGTGATACAATGGGATGAATATCAAGGCAGCGACCTTCAAAAGACATCTAGAATGGACATTAGGAAGCATTTCTTTACTGAGAGGGTGGTCAAACACTGGAACAGGCTTCCTTGGGTCGATGCTTGGGTCAATGCCCCAAGCCTGTCAGTGTTTAAGAGGCATTTGGACAATGCCCTTAATAACATGCTGTAACTTGGTCGTCCCTGAATTGGTCAGGTAGTTGGACTAGAAGATCTTTGTAGGTCCTTTCCAACTGAAATAGTCTAGTCTATCTCTTGCAGATATGTTACTGATATATGGAGAAGACAGTAATGTTCTGCAAGCCAACATTAAATTCTGGCAAAGTATATTCTAGCCAGCTTGTCTGAGCAGTGGTGTCAGTCAATCTGATGCCATTATAACCCAGAAAGATGTACTCCATATGAAGTGTATAACTGGAGGATGGCTGTAAACCCCTGGAACCATGGCTGTGGGTGACGGTGCTCTTCTTAGCACTGTTGGGCATTACAGCAAAGCAACTTGTGAAAATGGCATGAGGTGATGCCACTTAACTATGATAAAAGGAGAATCATAGAACCATAGAATCATAGAATCATTTAGGTTGGAAAAGACCTTTAAGATTATCACGTCCAACCATTAACGTAACACTACCAAGTCCACCACTAAACCAATTAAGGGTAGAGTAATAATTAATTTCATGTTTCCTGGCTTGGTGGCTGGATTATTTTTAATGAAAGTAAAACTAGAACAGAATCATTGAGGTTGGAAAGGATCAGTCCAACTGTCAACCCAACACCACCATGCCCACTAAACCACGTCCCAAAGTGCCACATCTACCTGTTTTTTGAACACCTCCAGGGATGGTGACTCCACCACCTCTCTGGGAAGCCTGTTCCAATGCTTGACTACCCTTTCCGTGAAGAAATTTTTCCTAATATCCAATCTAAACCTCCCCTGATGCAACTTGAGGCCTTTTCCTCTTGTCCTATCGCTAACTACTTGGGAGAAGAGACCACCACCCACCTCACTACAGCCTCCTTTCAGGTAGTTGTAGAGAAGTCATGATGGTGGAAAAGTCAGGATGGTGGAAGACTAGCCTTTCTCTATGTCACTGTATCCTGATGACTGGAACAGAGACTTGGTCAGCCGCAGCAGAAGTCAGCATGCTCTCCCCCAGAAAAAAGATGTTAAGGTGGCCAAGTGGTACTTAGTGAAATGAGGCAGTACAAGACCTAAAGCAAGTTTCTCCAGCTCAGTCAGGTTGAAGGAGGATGCACATTTGGCAAAGACTCAAAGACACTGACAGCTAGCAGGATCCTCACAATGGTAGTGGGAAAGAAAACAAGGAAAGAAAAGACCAAAGACATACCACATCATCAGGCTAACCATGAGCTCAAGAGGTGAGACTGTGCAATATCAGGCATGCAACTGCAAGTTATGGCAGAAAGTTATAGCAGTGTCCCCTCTTCTCAAACAGGGACTAGTGGAGCAGGAGAAGATTCGGCTTCTAACTGCCCAAACAAGCTGAGGGTATTTTGCAGGGAGTTGCAAGCTCAGTTGGCCTAAACTCCTGTTCTCCCAGGAGAGCTTTTTAGCTCATCCTCGGCTTTGAATTGTCTTGGGATGGTGGCAGGGTTGACTTTGATCAGTTTAGAGGGTCAGCCTCCTACTGCACTGTGTTTGATTCCCACTTGAAGGCTTAAGAGATACACTGTGCAAAACCTCTTGGACAAATGTGCATTTCACCCTGCACATTCAAGGGAGATGAGTGTAACCTCTCTGTTAAACTGCATTTTATACCCAAAAGAGAGAACAATGTTTGTTGAAGACTGCATTATCCCCATTACTAAAAAGGAAATTTCTAATATCTCCTCATGATATTGCACATACTGGAGTCTAATTGTTTATTGAAGTGTACATGTTTTGGGCAAAACTTGCATGTTCACGACTGCCAGAGCATCACATTCACTTAAGGAACAGCTATACTGAGATTTAGAGAAAATCCTCTATCAAGCTATGCTACATTTAGCTGCACATTATGTACAGTAAATGCTGTGGAATCTAAAGCTAGAAAATTTGTCATAAGAGCATTCTGAGTGGTTTGTTTGAGTCAAAATCCTGGTCTTGCAAGCATTGTTTTATTTAAAATGAGAATGGCTTTGACAGTCAGTCTTAGTATGACAAAAATGTTCTGTGCTGATGTGAGCTGATTTGGGGAACGAGGTTTGGGGAGATGAAGAGGGAAAGGAATGGTTGGTTTGGGAGATATATTCTTTTTGTGCCTCCAGTACCAGTAGTAACTAGGTCTGATACAGGACTGATACCCACTTTGTCCACTTAACAAATGCATCTCAGAGTTCAGCATTTGAAGTGCAAGGCTTTTATCATCTTTTCCCTGTGAAAGGGTACAACTTGTCCCTTGACTTGTCACTCTGGTTACCCTGATAAGATCTGCAGCTCTTTTACCCTAACTTTTCCCTCAGAAAGAAAGTAGAAACAGCAGCAAATTCCATCTGATTCTGTTCTGTAGTCAATCCCCTCCAGAAGCAATTGCTGAGATGCTCACAAAAAAAGAAATCTTTCTACATTTATTGGCATTAAATGCCTATAAAGCAGGACACAATCTGAAGGAAGCTATTCCTTCTTCCAGACTCTCCGAGAGCACAGTCAGTGTGACTGCAAAGGGTGACTGTTTACTTACTGAGTTAAAACTGAATGTTTCAAAAACAAGTAAGTCAAGCTGAATCAGGAAATTATGCTTACAAGGTGCAGATCCTCTGACTACATAAACCCATTCCATTGAATACGTGAAAATCCTAATTTTTAAACAAAATCAAATGGATATGCCCAGGAGTACCTTTGATTAGGTGTTTTGCCTCACACTGGGTAATAAACATCATGCCTGTTCAGATTTAATGGGCTGACTCAATAGGGATATTTGGCGGGCAGCAAGAGGAAAAAAATATGTATTCCTTTAAAGCTAGCACAGAGCACTCCTGCAATCCTACCACAGCCATATAACCATTTGCTCAGACTTCTGGCTGCTAAGTACTTCTTGCCAATTTGTGTACTTTTATATACATAACATTGAAGCCTAAAAAAAAATCATCCACTTGGACTGCTCGTATCTTAGCCATGTCACAGTTAATTCAGTAGTGATCCCAATAGCATATGGTGGATTAAAATAAAACTCCCATAAAAACACCC